TCTATCTATCTATCTATCTATCTATCTATCTATCTATCTATCTATCTAACAAGGTTCTAAAATTGGGCATGCTCATAATGACCCACCTAACAACCACCTTACAACTATAATTCGGGGCTCAATTATGGGCATAAATTGAGGACTTCCTGTACTGCAACAGTCCCCAACCTTTGTGGCTCTGCAGACCAGCAGTGGCGGCAGTGGGAGAGGGGGAGAGGTGCACATCGCTTGCGCAAATGAAACTTCACGCGACTGCCTGCTGCTTGCGTGGCCTGGTTCCCAATGGGTCATGGCCCGGTACCAGCCAGCAGACAGGGGGTTGTGGACCCCTCCTTTATTGTATCTTCTTTTATGAAAGGCTGATGCCGTAACCTGTGACAAAGTCAAGTAAGTTAGAGTTTACTGATATTTCAAGCATAAAACCACTTTTAAAAATTATTTATTAATCTCTCTCCTATGAAACATCTCAGTGTGTCAAGATATCCCACATTTGAGGCCATAACGATCGGTTTGCAGAAAGGAAATAAAAGTTAATAATCCATCTGAAACTTTGCATATTTAAGGTCCTATATCTGGTTGTGCTAGGCCTGCCTGGACTCTGACCATAAAGGTTTGATCTAAGCCTCAACTACAAGGAATCAGCAATTCATTCTGAAGTGATCTCTTAACTGGCCTGTTATCTGCTTAAGGAAGTGTCAACTTTCAGACGGTTCATCATGCTTGAAGAAAATACCTTGAAAACATCACAGTGCACACAATCTCGTCAACAAAAGCTGAGTCAATATTGACTTTATGTGGTCCACACTTTGAGGCTGTATCAACAGCAAGGTTGCAAATCTATCCTAAGGGGTAATTGACTGATGATCCATTTGATGCATAGAATACATCTAGGACAGCGGTCCCCAATCTTTCTGGCTTGGCAGCCTGGCACGGGGGGGGGAGTTGTGAGTGACAGGTGTGTGTGTGCACAGCTCCATTTGTGCTAGTGAAGATTTGCACACAAGTGTCCATTGCACGCACACTTGCCCGCCTGCTGCTTGCATGGCCCAGTTCCAAACGGTAGTGGCCCGTGGCCTGGGGGTTGGGGAATCCCTGATCTAGGAGATACACTACAATCATTGCTCTCTTAGGAATCATTTAACCATATAGATAAACAGGAAGGTAAAACAGAAAAGCTATTTTTACAGATATGGTATTTCTTTTTTCCTTGTCTAGAGGGAATAGCCAAGCAATATAATCTAGTGCAACAAACAGAAAATGACAAGTTTACCCTGCTTCATATTACACTATTTTTACTCATACGGTATTTCTTTTTTCCTTGTCTAGGGGGAATAGCCAAGCAATATAATCCTAATGGCAGGATTTCCTTAACTCTAGTTTCTATTAGTTCCACCAAAAGGAACCCTTCAGAGCAGAACAACAAGACAAAGTCCTTTAAATCAGTGTTACTCAAACTTGGCATCTTTAAGATGTCTGGTTTCCAACTCCCATAATACCCCAGCTGGTTGGGAAATCCTGGAAATTGAAGTCCAGGCATCTTAAAATTGCCAAGCTTGAGCCACACTGCTTTAAATAAATAATATGAAAGCATCCCTTACTTACTTACAACCTGAAGTTCAAAGTATACATCGCTCTATGACTCTACTTGACCTATATCAGTGGTGGCGAACCTATGGCACGTGTGCCAGAGGCGGCACTCAGAGCCCTCTCTGTTGGCACGTGCGCCACCGCTGCCAGCAGCAGGTCCATCAGGCTGCCACCGCCACCACTGCCCGGAGCAGGACCCCTGCCCAGCACAAAGGAGGCAAAGCGGCCGACTAGCAAGCTTGAGTAGAGGTGGAGAACAGAGGTCACTAACCATTGTCGATTGGTGGACTGGAAGAAAAGGGAGGGGGAAGCATTTTACATGCATGCATGCGTGCACGGGGTTGCGAGCACGCACGCTCTGCAAATGGGGCGGGGCTAGTGCCTGCGTGATACTCACTAGCCCTGCCCCATTCTTGTGTGGTGCAGCGCCTTGTATCTGCACCCTGCGGTGCGGTGGTGGCCATTTTGGTGCCTTGCAGCATGGAGGCCCATTTTTGTGCCCCCGGGTTTTGCGTGCCAGAGGCGGCACTCAGAGGTGCCTCCCTGCCCCCCCCGGGCACCACAATGCTGATGCGGCCCTGGCACTTTGCAATAAATAAGTGGGTTTTGGGTTGCGGTTTGGGCACTCAGTCTCTAAAAGGTTCGCCATCACTGACCTATATACTGGCACAGTGGCATATTATGCAAGGACCCAAGTACATCAGTTTGACAAATGCAGCATTGGCCGTTGACATTGTACACACATCCAAAAGACACCAGTGCTTGGGACATGGTCCTCCTTCCCCTGCCCCCAAAACTGGTCCTAAATAATTTTTTACAAAAATTTCCAAAAAGATATTTTTATTTGTATATCCCACAGTATAACACTGCAAGTATATCTAATGCAAATTATGGCAAATTTGCTCTGCGGATTGGTGGTGGTGGCTGGGGGGGGGAGGAAAGAGGGGATGGTTGTGCAAATGCAGTTTTGCGTGCTTGTACACTTGCCCTCCACTTGCGCAGACCGGTTCCCAATGAACCGCAGACTGCTACCGGGCCGTGGACTGGCAGTTGGGGACCCCTGATCTAATATACTACTCATGCTTCAATTATTTGTCTAAAGGCCAACAGCGCATCAGTAAAAGTCCACAGAAGCTAATTTTTTTTAATATGCTTAGGGAAGGGGTCTTCATACTTGGCCCTTTTATGACTTGTGGACTTCAACTCCCAGAATTCCTCAGCCAGCGTGCCTGGCTGGGGAATTCTGGGAGTTGAAGTCCACAAGTCATAAAAGGACCAACTTTGAAGACCCCTGTTTTAAATCTAACAAACAAAATGGAGGCTGGCTGAGGAATTCTGGGAGTTGAAGTCCACAAGTCATAAAAGTCCACAAGTCAACTTTGAAGACCCCTGTTTTAAATCTAACAAACAAAATGGAGGCTGGCTGAGGAATTCTGGGAGTTGAAGTTCACAAGGCATAAAAGGCCCAAGTTTGAAGACCCCTGCCTTAGGGTCATCTTCAAATATTGATGATCACAAAAACACTCCATTGTCTTTCTTAAAACAATACAAGTAACTCGATCAAGAAGCTTGTTGCAGTAGGTTAAGTACTTTTTTCCTGCATGGCAAATTTACAGCAAAATTAGGTCACTGATGAGAAATTAATTCTTTCTCCCTTAGCATTCCCCTGTTGTTCTAAGAGAGCACCCATTTATTTATTTTAGTAGAAAGCAAGTGATCTTGTATCTGTATTGTACCATTGTTTTAGACTGGCTGTAAGCCGCCCTGAGTCCTCCGGGAGAAGGGCGGGGTATAAATTTAATAAAATCAAAATCAAAATCAAATCAAATCTCCTTACCTGTCCCAAATCTAATGTGACGTTGACCTCATTGAATTCCAACCTCCGAGAGAGAGGGGGACTCTGCCACCAGCGTTCGGTCCCGTCGATAGCATTGGTGATGGGATGGGCTTTGTTGCTATTGGCTGAAGAACAGATGTCACAATACTGTCCCTATGGCCAGAAGACAATAAAATAAAAAAAAACAAATGATCAGAAACCGCAGAGAAAAGCATGCATTTTATTCACAGTTTAACAGCTCCATTCACCATCACTTACCAGATTCAACATAAAATCATTGGTCTAACCTAGTTGTAATACATAATAATAGTTGTTTGGAGCTATTGAATACGGCCTGCAAAATCCCAGACACCCCATTAGGTGGCAGCAAGGAGATAAAGCAGTTGGGATCTCTGTACTGCCACCTAGTGGTCATTTTGGATAACTGCAGCCAAGATATAATATTCTACATTTGCAGTGTTTTCAAAATAACATCTCACTAAAGGATAAAACATTTTAGAAGTGTAACTGGCCTTAAGCTTGGGCAGTAAAACGCTTTAGTGCCTTTATTTTAGCTTGCTGGCCAAGTCGCCATCTTTTTTCCTCTTATGAATGCCATGAAAGGCTTTAAAAAACAAAGAAACTAAGAAGGAAAAAGGAGGCATTTGTCAAGTTTTGGTCCTATGACGCCATTTTGAATGTCTCCCACAGGGATGTCCAGGGGATGAGTCAGGAGACAAAATGGCATCTGCAACTGTCTGATCAAAGTCCATGATAAAAAATATCATCTGGTTTTTGAGTGAATTTTAGAGTATTATTGTTGTACAAAGGCTAGAATATTTTATTTAGTATTATTTTTAATTATTAAAGTGTTGTTATTATTATTGTTTTTAATAATTGTATATCTGTTTAAAAGAGTTAAAGGAGGTTATAGATATGTTATTTTAATAGTTGATTAATGCTAATTAGAGTATGATTATGTTATTGTTAACCCTGTGATTGGCACTGGGAAGTGAGGGGGGAGGGAGGGGGGGTGGAAGGGTGGGAAGGGGAAGGGGAAGGGGGGATTTATATTGTAAAATTTTATAAAATTTTCAATTAAAAAAAAAGTCCAAGTCCGTGTGGTTTTTACCAGCAATACATATAGAGCTAGTCCTCAATTTACAACCATTTGTTTAGTGACTGTTCAAAGTTACAATGGCACTGAAAAAAACTGAATTATGACCATTTTTTTTACACTTATGACCATTGCAGCATCCCCATGGTCACATGAACAAAATCTGGATGATTGACAACTGGTTCGTATTTATGACGGTTGCAGTGTCCGGGATCATATGGTCATCTTTTGCGGCCCTGTGCCAAGAAAAGTCAGTGGGGAAGCCAGATTCACTTAAGAACCATGTTACTAACGTAACAACTGCAGGGATTCACTTAAAAACTGTGGCAAGAAAGGTCGTAAAATGGGGCAAAACTCACTTAACAACTATCTTGCTTAGCAACAGAAGGTTTGGGCTCAATTGTGGTCATAAGTCAGGACTACCTGTATAAAAGAAGTTGATTTTTCTCTATCCCCTCCCATCACATACACCTGGTCTCCCAACAATTCAGACCCACACCTAGCTAGAGCTCTGAAATTAAGCATTCTTCAGTATTTTAAAACTTGTTTTTGAGGAAATGAATACTGTACAGTGCTTTACCTCTAGGTTAAATTGCAGTAAATGAATACATGCAATTTCTTAACAGCAGACAAAACAGGGATCTCCCCATTTTCCTTCCTTAATTCCTAATTTTTTTCCCCCAAGGTATTTTTCCTTTTCTCAGGGGAGCAGACTATTAAAATGTCTAGCAAAAAAGGAAATAAAAAGAAATCCCTCTGTCGTGTTGGAAGGACAAGAATGCAAGGAAGAAAACAGGAGAATGACTGCTATTCTGACTAGATTAGAGTCAAAAGTATGCTGAATAAGGAACTATAAAATGCAGCACAAGGGTCAGTTTAGAATGGAGAAGGGTTTGCAAAATGAGCCACTACAGGAGGGAGGGAGGGAGGGAGGGAAAAAATAACCATTGCCAAATTCCACTTGTTTCAAATCTTGGCATTTTTACCAACAATCCTTATGTTCCTATAGTTATACTATAACATAATACAGGTAGTCCTCAACTTAAAACAGTTCATTTAGTGACTTTTCAAAGTTGCAACGGCACTGAAAAAAGTGACTTAGTACCATTTTTTTCACACTTACAATCATTGCAGCCTCCCTATGGTCACATGATCAAAATTCTGATGCTTGGTGATGAATTCATATTTATGACGGCTGCAGTGTCATGTGATCACCTTTTTCAACCTTCTCAGAAGCAAAGTCAATGGGGAAGCCACTTAACAACTGTGTTACGAACTTATCAACTGCAACTGTGGCAAGAGTGGTTGTAAAATGGGGCAAAATTAACAACTGTCTCGTTCAGCAAGAGAAATTTTGGGCTCAATTGTGGTCATAATCCGAGGACTACCTGTATTATTTAGTTTAAGTCACCCCCAGTGCATTCATAAAGATAGGGAATACATTAATTAATTTGGACTTTCACTAAGCATGTTGTGTGAACCCACCCAATTACAGTTTCTCAAGTAACATAAAACTGAACAAATCAAAAGTTAGCTATTAAGTGAATCAGGCAGACATTAAACAAATCCGACTTCCCCCATTAACTTCGAAGGATCGAATCAAGATCACGTGAAGTGTTAGTACCACTTTACAATGTCTTGGTAAGGCCACACTTAGAATACTGAATCCAGTTTTGGTCACCACGATGTAAAAAAGATGCTGAGACTCTAGAAATAATACAGAGAAGAGCAATAAAGATGATTAGGGGACTGGAGGCTAAAACATACAAGGAACGGTTGCTGGAATTGGGTATGTCTAGTTTTATGCAGAGAAGGACGAGGGGGGACATGATAGTAGAGTTCCAATATCTGAGGGGCTGCCACAAAGAAGAGGGAGTCAAACTATTCTCCAAAGCACCTGAAGGCAGGACAAGAAGCAACGGATGGAAACTAATCAAGGAGAGAAGCAACCTAGAACTAAGGAGAAATTTCCTGACAGTTGGAACAATTAATCAGGGGAACAACCTGCCTCCAGAAGTTGTGAATGCTCCAACACTGGAAGTTTTAAAGAAGAAACTGGACAATCATTTGTCTGAAATGATATAGGGTTTCCTGTCTGAGCAGGGGGTTGGACTAGAAGACCTCCAAGGTCCCTTCCAACTCTATTATTGTTATTGCTTATTGGAAGCAGCTGGGAAAATTGCAAATGGCAATCACCTGGCCCCAGGAGACGGTAATCACATGCCACTCATCGTGTGCTCCAATTTTGATCATGTGACCAGTGGGATATTGTTGACAGTTGTAAGTGTCAAGACCAGCTGTAAGTCACTTTTTTTCAATGCAACTGTAACTTCGAACAGTCACTAAACAAATGGTTGTAAATGGAGGACTCTCTGTAGTAAGAAAGCTCTTTCAGCTAAACCTCATGTTGTTTTTGTGAAAATAGAAATTACTTTCAATAGGAAATCCACAGCTGGTCATTCTAACAAGAGCTAACACTTAGGTAGAGAGAAGCTTTTTCAGAACCTCTGCTAAGTTCTTCCAACTTTTAGTTTAGTTTTCTTAATGGATGATGTATAATATCAAGCAGATTAGAGGGTCAAACCAACTCAATTACTGAAACATAAATTCTGGAATTTATTATGGTTGTTCCAGACTATTGAAATTAAAGATGCAGCCCTTAATTTGCTCCACTGCTTGTAAATGGAATTAATGAAAAACCACGACCTTTCAATTATCAGGTCTCGTTTTGCTTCCTTTTAAAAACATGTCCGCTATTACAGGGGGGGAAAAACAGTCACTTAACAAGCAGAGAAAAGCCCATCGCTCAAATGAAGACCAGATGAAAGAAGAAGAAAGATCACAAACAAATTGAATTTGGGAATTCTGAAAGGCAACCTTTTTTAATTTGGAGATTGGTGGTAGAGTCCAAGAGAGATGCTATCACTAAAATTAAGCTATACAGATAGCTTACAACAGTTCATTTACAAGAGCACTGAAAAAAATGACTTATGATCGTATTTCACACTTACAGCATCCACATGGTCATGTGATAAAAATTTGGACTTTTGGCAACGGGCATGTACGAGGGCAATTCGGAAATAAACCTCCATTTGGTTATCAATGACAGACACTCGCAGATGCAGAACTTTTATTATACACATTACAAAACTTACGTGCGCTGCACCAAGGGTCCAGTGGGCTGCTGTTGCTGCTGGACACCGTCAGCCCCCGTGTGCTTGCTGCCTCTTGTGTGCGTGCCTTATGTATGTGCCGGGGGTGGGCACCCACCCGGGCTAATCACCCCAATATTGTGCTTCCCCGAAAATAAGCCCTAATGCAGGGGTAGGCAACCTTGGCTCTTTTACGACTCATGGACTTCAACTCCCAGAATTCCTGAGCCAGCCACGCTGAGGGGAAAGGGAGAGGTTTCCATGCTGAGCCATGCTGGCTCAGGAATTCTGGGAGTTGAAGTCCACGAGTCATAAAAGAGCCAAGGTTGCCTACCCCTGCCCTAATGCGTCTTTTGGAGCAAAAAAACCCCTATAAGACCAGGTTTTATTTTCAGGGAAACACGATATGTATGTATGTATGTATGTATGTATGTATGTATGTATGTATGTATGTATGTATGTATGTATGCATGCATGCATGCATGCATGCATGTATAAATAACTCCAGGTGGCAGATATACTCTTTCCTCCTCCTATTTTCCCCACAACAACAACAACCTGCGAGGCAAGTTGGGCTGAGAGTGACTGGCCCAAGGTCCCCAAGCCACGTTTCATAGTTAAGGCAGAATTAGAATTCAGTCAGGGTCAGGGAATACCTGTATAGATTTCTTGTTTGACTTCTGCTCTCTTCAGAGAGAACTAGCCAACCCCTCAAGCTGTTTCCATGGTTTGTTTTTTTGGAAAGTACAAAATAGGTGTCCCAAACTCTTCCCCTTGACTATAAACCATGATTTCTTCTGGTTTGAGAGGATTCAAGCTCGGAAACCACAATAAAAGGAAGCCTAAAAGAAATGTTTACAATTCAAGTGTTCCCCTTGGCATGAAGAACCAAACAAGTCAGCAGC